GAGAAGGTTTTGTGCTTCTTGGCAATACAGCCATCTCACAGGCGCCTGTTTGTGTAGCTGTGGCGACCCTTATCGAGCGGCGTCCTTATACTGTAATGGTGGTCGACACGGTATTACACTGTTAACTTTCAGAACCCAAGATAACCGTGCAGGCAGGTTCTCATATCACCAACAGCCAATATTTCAGCAGCTTGTCAAACATTTCAAAGGTATGAGGCAAGACCAGGTAAAACTCAAAGGTGCCTTTGTCTCCCCCCTCTTCTGTATGGATAGGCATGGACAACAACCATGGTCAGAGTGGAAGGGTGTGGCATCAGAAGTGTGTATCAATGAAAACATCAAAGCTCCGCAGATCTTGGGGAAGGGTATCTGCAGGATCTGCCTCCGGCTCTTTCATTTAGAGAATTCAAATTGTACCTTTGAAGGTGTTAGTTAGCTGGGGATGTATGAGGCATACATGTACACAGGGTGCCACCCAGAGCTTGTACGTCAATGGTTTGCACCCACACCTATTGCTCCCCCCTTCCTCTAGAAGGGCAAGGGTGCAGGGGGGATTGAATGACAAACGCCCTGTCATGGTTCCTTTGCAGAAAACAAGGTCCCTGCTCCGCTGTCAATCAATAGTCCCCAAGGTTTAGGTGTAGATTGCACAGTGTTTTCCACAAAAGCACTTTCTTTGCAAGGGAAAACATTTGGGACTCCCACAAAGCGCATTTGTGTTGTGAGGAAACAAGACTACCCAGGAGTAAAATTCGTAGGAAAAATATGTCTACTTCTTAAGTTCTGTGACATGCCATTCCAGGTTCAATAAAGAACTGTTATACAGACAGAATCAGATTTCTCCTTGTCAAAATCAAAACATAAAAATAAGCTGAAAACAAAGTTGAAATATTGAAAATATTTAGTCCACAATTTCCAAGAACTACACCATCCATCAATAGTACAGACAGAAACAAAAGAATAAAAAAATAAAATAAAATAGGCACCTCCCAGGAATACTTATAAAAATCTTTAATAACGCATAAGATCGTAAATTTGATGAGGAAATAAAATCTGCACAGTTGCACAACAATAAAGAAAAGTCAATCTGTGCACCTGCCCTTTCCCCGACCACGATTTGGTTTGTCCCATCAACTCTACCCCCCACCCACTGACGTTCAAGGGCAGGGGGTCAGACCAAAGTAAACACTGCCTTTCAGGGTAATGTCCAACTGACTGGGAGACATATATATTTATGTGCACTCTCTCCCCCACAGCTTGTACAAGCCACCTTCCCACTATCGCCTTTCAAACCCCAGCAATTACCTTCTATCCACATCCCAATTCAAGGTCTTTAGGTTTCTAAAGAAAGAACAGATTCAGCTATTGATCTATTGAGTCTTGTTTTTAGATCTCGACCTCAAAATAGTAAAAATACACTGGGAACCGGTTTCTAATGCACTCAAGAGTTTGATTTCATAAAACCAGTCATAATTTTATCTCTACCAGTCTTTCACTTTCCCATCTTATATTCAGCTCCTATTCAAATAATTAGATATATACTAAATGTTTTTGATTTTCATGGTTGTCAGTAGTAACATATTCTGCAAGAAATGGATGAGGCAATGCACAAAGCACAAGCGCATCTTGACAGACTGACTTTAGCTGATGAGGCAGGTGTATGCTCCTTTCCCTTCTTTTGTATTCAGTCCACGACTTCTCGTACTAAACAAAGGAATGCCAGGATTATGTTTCTGATTAGGTCATTTTTCTTGTCCAGTCTTTCATTTCAAGATTGCACTGAAGCCTAATGCATTACTTCAGGGCATCCCATGAGGAGGGATAAAATAGAGAGATATTTCTTGATTAGATAGAATCAGAATTGGTAGAAAATGCATCTAGATTATTCAGTGCTTATAAGCATGCTTCAGGAAGCATCTTTTACCATGCGTCAATCAAATACTAAAACCCAATTATTTTAAGTTCTGGTGTGCAAGACAATGTAAGATATGCAATTGCACATCTCCTGTTTGTTCTGAACAATTTGTGCCCTTTTCACCTCTAAAACAGCACGGGAACTGAACGCAGTTCGACTAATTTACAACTTTTATAACATAAATATGAAAGCGGCTAATTTCATAAACCCCACAATCCCGAACCCATTAAAGTTATATCTTCTTTACGGCTCCCTAGACTCCATTCGTTGCTACAATGGGGCATTCATGGCATCCTCTAAAACAATTGAGGGATTCTTTTTGCCCAGGGCAAGCATTTGTCACAGGTCATTCCCTGTCAGGGAAGCCTTCATCAATGCCCCCCTCCCCGCCCCAGGGAGACCACATTTGCACAGTGCAGTAGGGGAGATTGATGTTTACCTCAGGCTAGATTATGCCGTCTTAAAGCGTATTGTTGTGGTGATTCACAATGCAACATTACCCTTTATCAACCCGAGTTCTCTGAATTCTACAGGATGCTAGCAGACTACACTAATGATATTGTAACACCTCTCTGATCAACTTTTGTGATCAAGTTTTCGTTTACATTTTTGGTTACAGGAAGGAAGCCCATTCCATGGCTAATTAGAGCTGTACAGAAAATTAACAACCGCAGCTAAACTCCTTTTCTTTTTTCCTAGGATGAAGGAAATCTCATTCACTAGAGAAAGACGACTGGAAATCCTCTTGTCTTCCGATCTCATCAAGATTTCGCATTCCTCCACTTACATGGGGTCAGCAACCTCATACACCTGTCTTCCTTCGCTGCCTAATAAGGCATGTACTGGGAAAGCAAATACAGGTCTGCCTTCAGACATACAAAGGAGATAGAAGGCTTCCTGTGCAAACAAGTCCAGATTCCAGTGCTAGCAAACTTACATGTAGCCCTGAGAGTAATGTACAAGGCTGGCCAGAGGGGTCAGATTTGCCTTCAGACCTTGCAGTGGAAGGTATACCCCTACTGTCCCATGAATACAGATCAAGGTAAAACATTCCCTCAGTTGTTTATATCTGCCTGGCTAGCAGTTCAGAATATAGAAGCCTATATCTTTACATGAATGACATTACATATCAAGAATGGCTGTTCAGTGATTCTTCAAAGCAAATCCGAACATCTCTACAAAACAGGACAAACCAGTCCTAGCACAAGAGACACAAAGGTACAGAATAACTGTCACAATCCCTTTCTCTGAAGTTTTCTATAAAAAGTTCAGCCTTGATTTTGCTCCTAATACTCAGGGTGATACCGAGATGAGAGCACTTTGATGATATGTTGTTAGTATGGATTAGGTGACCTTCTGCGGATATGCGGAGGAGTTTTCTATGATTTGACAAGATTGGCACATCTGAAGGCTGGCACTTCACACAATGACACATGTAAGGAAAACTGCACAGTGGCAGACAATCAGCAGCAGCTAAATGGATGGTAACGCGATGAACAAATTCCCCTGTCAGATTACTCTGCAATCCTGATGTAAGTACTGTACCATCCAATACTGCAGAGGACATAAGTACCGCCTGGAATACATGATCAGTATTATGTATGATTGAGTATGCCGCACTGGTGCTGACAAATAAAAAAACTACCTACACTGTCATGTTTGAAGCTAATGACACCTTTCCTGGGGTGTTCTCCTTTGCATACATGATACAATTGGCAAGCACAATAACCATTTTAGCGTAGTATGAAAGACTTTACTGTACACCAGTCCTCCTTGGTAACGCAGGAAGCATTTCCACTGGAGAACAAACAAACAATTCAACTTAGGGGCACTTTAGACTGACGACGGTTCGATAGTCGTACGAATGTTTATCGTCACGATGTTGCCGGCGACGGTATTTTACCACCGTCTAAAGACGATCAAAATAGTCGCACGACGGTAATCCTCGAATCGTCGTCACTACCACCTCGGACCCTATCGTGCGATCCTTCAGCGGGGGGTCCGAGGAGGATTTTCCACCGTCTAAAGTGAACCGTCGCCGGCGAAGGAAGTGGGGGGTCATTGGCCTTATGCAAATAAGCCTGCAAGCGCTATTTCCTGTCCAAGCACATCGCCAGTATCATTAAATGCCGTCAAACCAAAGACTTTATATCGTCATACGTGTCTAGTACAATCCCCAGCAACCAATCGCTACTTCTCCGGTACGAACCGATCCGCCGATCCACATTTCCCGGCCAATATAGCCAGGCCGACGGCAGCACTGAACGCCGGGTTCAACCCTGTATATTGCCCCGCTTGGTACATGTGCCTCATACCCCTTCTTTGCTAGGCACAAACTAGGAGTCTCATCCACAGAACAACGAGTTAAAAGCAGAATAAAAACAATCTTCTGCAGCATGCCGAAAAAAGGGGTTCTCTCGCCATTTTGAATTGGCGCGCGGCGTGCCCTCCTGCGCTGCGGGTGTCCGTCACACTTCCTGGTCATGTGTCTAAAGTCAGCCGTCGCACACAACGATTGTCGTGCGATCGTATACCGTCGTCAGTCTAAAGTCGACCTAAGAACAGTCTTGCACAGATATTTACAAGCCTTTTCCGGGCCTCCCAGACTCCGAAAGTATTTACAGTACACATTAATGCTGGCCAGCAAAATTTACAGACATGTAATTACGAGGCATCAGATATCAGCATCAAATTTTGACAAATGTGGAAACTCCAACACAAGGTCAAGTCCTGAAGTGATGTGTGTTTAATTTAGCCAACATTCGAGGACTCCAATTATTTAGCTACAACACGGCAACAGCTGGTTCTTTCCACAAGCGAGCTCAGAGGGGCAGAGGAAAAAACTAGTTAAAAGCATTCCTCTTATGTTACACAGACCATATAAGGAGAAAACACCAAGTTGAGTCCGGCAACCATCCTGCATTTAATCTGCCTGGGCCTAAGTGGATTCCTGTTTATGACCGAAATGCAATCACACCCGGGATAGTAAAACCAGCATTGGGTACCTGGTTTTACACTTTTCCCAAATATTATTTGGTATGAAAGATATAAACTTGAAGACCGTGTATATTTCACGCCTACTAACCTGTGTTTTGATTGATCTGGAAGAAGCCTTGCGGGTTGCCTGATGTGATCTTGAACGTCAGTTTCTGAGTCCCGTCTTCGTCGGGATCAGACGCGCTGACTTGTGCCACGGACTTGCCCGACCCACTCCCCTCGTCCACAGAGGGGTAGTAGATGGGGAACTCCGTCAGAGGTGCGTTGTCGTTCACGTCCAGCACCTCGATGTAAACCTCGATGATGTTGTACAGCGGGACAGCGGCGCGGTCTTGGGCGTAAACTGTCAGCCAATAGTGGGACTCCGTTTCTCTGTCAAGGACCTCCGCAGTGCGGATAATACCTGCAAAGTAAAAGAAATTTTCAGTATTAATCACCCTCTTTTCTTCCAATATCTTCAAGCCTACACAGTTACAATACTTTACCCATACGACATGTAAAACCGTCAAAAAGTGGACAACTTGGTATTCCTACAAAGAGTGATGAAGTTATTAGTGTGCTCCTCTCCAGACAAATGAAATGGCATCTGTAGTTTAATATGGGTCTAAACTGCAGTTTACTGGTTACTTTACCTGTAAGCTTGACAGATCACAGGATTACTTTCTAGGCTTTTACAATAAATCATTTGCCTGCTGTTTTCCTTTGGGGAGGTTCCATACACCACTTCTGAGGACCGAAAACTCGGTTTACATTTCTTTAATTTATTGACATCATCATACTTGTAATTATGGAGCAACATCCCAGGGGCAAAGGGTGTATACTGTGTCTTTTTTATTAGGCAACAAAAGACAAATACATAAGTAATGCTGCCATGCATGAAATATGGGAACTGAGAACAAAGGCAAGACTCATAGAATAATGAGATATAAGATGCTGCAAGTTTTTCCTGAATAGTCATCAATTCCAGTATCTATATTAATGAGCCTTATCGTTATCGTCAGTGTGTTCTTATACAGGATCGGTATTGTTCAGAAACTTGACACCTGATGAATTAGAGCGCAACTCTAAACATTGTATTCTTGTATTGGGGAGAGAAAACTAAATGGGACAGACTGGGCTTTCAATTCATTACCCCGGGACAAAAGGCAACTTACCAGCGATATCCAAGATGGAATCATATAACCAATGTTCACATTCTCATACACATAATGCATTGTATTGATTAAAGATACACTTAGTACTATAGGGAGTGGGGAAAGCACAGAAGTGTATTTCATACAGGTGCATACATGTATGTATGAGGAAGGCTCATATTTCCTGGGGCATGTTGCTCCAATTTTGTTGCCAACTACCTTTAACCATGGATTCGTCCAATTGTAAAGAAAGGGCAATTACAAAATTTAAAGTAAAAGCAACTCTGGTTTGGCGAGATATGATGAAACATCCAACAGCCTTTCATTTACAGCATGGCCAGATTGGATCACAATGTTTGTGTTTTATAATAATCAATGTATCTAGATTAAACCTAGCACTAGTCGCAGCTGAGAAATTGGAACTGAGCTACATTACTGGGTAATTGTGCTGATCAATACCTGGTGCAGAAAGCCCGTTAAATTAGATTGCCTACTTTTGTTTCAATCTTCTCTAGGGCAGGCTAGAACAGGGGAGTATTTTGGAACAGACAACCAGAATATCTGATGTACTGTGTTAGTTGTATGCAAGGATTCTTTCAAATTTCTCAGTCAGAAACAGATAGCTTTGTATTCGTATTCAAAAGGATGGTCAGGGGTAATACCTCCAGGAAAACTGATAGGTTTCAATCTTTGAAACGGAAGCCTGTATGCATTTTCCTAACCGTATCTCCCCTATCACTCATAGATTCAACCTGCCAACATACTTTGAGACTACGGCACGGTACTCTCGACAATTGGTTTTTGCAAACTGTGCAAATGGAACTCTTTCACTTCAAACTGATGAAATAGGGTAGACGCTGTTAGCCAATTCAGATGGGAACTCTTGTCGTGCTGGCTGCGAACATCAAAAGGCTCCCAGCCATGGTAATTCAGGAGAATGCAATTTGTGGACCGATAACGTCGATGATAACAGACCGTGTGTACCCCGACGGCAAGTTTGCACCCAGCTGTTAGGAGCACCTGCTTTCTTCAGAAGATTACCTTTACAAGATTGGCTGTTTGAGCAGTAAAACCAACTTCTCACTGTCCTCAGAAGTGGGTTAATGAACACACAGATCTGTATTGCATTTTGTGGAACTAGTTTGCTTCAGTCTACATAAACTTCAAAATGCCAGCAGTAACTTTTATGGAAACTGGTGACTTGAGCTTCCTCACAATTTGTTTTATATATTTCCTTCAGGAGGTAAATTTTTACACGATTCCTTCACAAAATTTATGTGACCTTAAATTTACCAAATTGGAACAATGGCCCACCAATCCAAAGCCCCAAGCAGACAAGCTGGGTGGCATACAGGGATTTATACCAAATGTGAACAACTGCTTATGAGGAATTTCTCAGAGAGGATCCAGCAAGGGGTTCATTCATCAGAGCACGACCTTTCGGGCACTACAAGCAAACACCACGTCCCCATATTACAACACTACTTTATATGGGGTTTGGGACTCCACTGTCCTTTTATGATGGTGGGAGGGAAAATTCTAAACCTCTTTATTTCAGAACCAAGATCAAGACATCAACGTTTTCTCAGAATAAGATGTAAATGTTCAACAACATGGATGAACCAACACTGCTCTCTGGTTGCAAGTGGCATTTGATCCTTCCCTGCCATGACTAAAGGATGACCCACAGACCAGAGAGGGGTTGGATTGCCATTGATGTCATCCAATACAAATAAAATTTGGTTTACACACTAACTAGAAGTCCGCCAATGGCTGCCTTTGAGTGGGTGCCAGATTTTCTGTTGTGGAACGGTCGACTGAAGCATGTCCTAGTTCAAAAAGCCAAGATCTAAATGAACGGGGCAGATGGGGGGATGCAAGTCAAAGGGGAAGAATTTTTCAACAAGTTGTGAGGCTGCTTCAAACAGTGCAGGGATGTGCTATGTCTCCCTCTGGCATTCTTGGCTGCCTGCGTGCATATAAACTGCATTCCTCATGTCACTGCTGGGGCGCTATCGCCAACACAACCCATTTCCACAGGGCTACCTCTTTCTGACCCCGCCGGCTATTGGGGAATCATTCCGTTTTTACAGCCCCTGCAAACACAATCCAGTTATTGGCCGTACATTTGAGGAGAGATAATGTCTGATTGATGCGGGCAAGTGCTCTGAAAATGTGTGGTCAGTGCGGAGGGTGTTAGTGCAGGCTATGGTCATCATTCCCGGGCCAGCATGGGGCCCTGGCAACTTGTGTCGCTATGCCCCAGTCAGCTGACTGGCAGACGACAGGAATGTTGCCTAGGGGTGCGGGAGAGCCCACATCCTTCCATTAAAACTTTCACTCTCCCTATACACTTGAAGAAGGGTGGAGCTTCGTCACAAGCGGACGACTGATTTTAGACCATCCCTCCGACAATTATTTATGCTAGGAGAGTTCGCTAATTGTTGCCAACCTGGCTTTTCAGACCCACCTCGGGACATTTCACAGGTCAGGGGACGTTTTGTTGGCGGCAGGCCTAAGGTAAACCGCCTGATATCTGATTGGATCACGCGAGCGACAATTGTGACAGACCACAATTAACACGTGGGTGTGCCTGTGTTATGCAAATGCCAAATTGGACTAGAAAGGAAGTCAGCAGTGTATAATTATCATGGATTTAATGACACGGAATAAAAGAGATTGAAGACTAAAGGCAAAAAGGTTTACAAAAGACACGCATGAGGAATTTGTCGGTATCCACTGTCACACCTAGCCTACCGCAAAATTGTCGGAAGAACCTTTGACCTACCTTCGTCGTCGATCACGAACCGTCCGAGCCCACTTCCGTCCCGAATGGAATACACCACCTTCCCGTCGTTCCCGCTGTCCAAGTCCGTAGCAACAACCTGTAAGACTTCTGTTCCGACCTCCTCATTCTCATACACAGTGCCGTTGTCGACGAAGCTCGGAAATTCCGGCGCGTACAGATTCTCATTAATGTCGATCACCTCCACTTCAATCTTACACGTGGACGTGAGCTGTGGTGAGCCCTTGTCCTTGGCACGAGCCGTGATGTTGTACACTTGTCGATCCTCGAAATCCAGCATCCCGACCAACCGAATGACGCCCGTCAACCTATCCACGTCGAACTTTCCTTCGTCCCCGTCTTGCAGGGAATAGCGAATCTCTCCTCCGCGCCCCTCGTCCGGATCCTGAGCCTCCAGCATCAGGATAACCGCTCCTTTCGGTAGATCCTCTCGGACTTTGACCTTGTAGTTTTCCGGGATGAACTTGGGTGCGTTATCATTGAGGTCCTGCAGGGTCACGGTTACCGTGACAACAGACGACAATGGGTAACTCTCGTCTTGGTCGCTTGCCTGAATTCTCAGAGAGTGCACGGCTGCCTCCTCTCTGTCTAGTGCAGCTGTTGTTTTGATAACACCTGACTTCTCGTTGATCGAAAACTTTTCCGTTCCGGTGAGCAGGGAGTACCTGACCGTGCCGGCCGGTCCGCTGTCGGGATCGGACGCGTACACCTGCAGTATGGTTGACCCGATATCAATGTTCTCGTCTACAGTTTTTTCGTACTTGTCTTGGCTAAACCTTGGCTTGTTGTCGTTTGCATCCATTACATTGATGGTGATCTGCTTCCATGCCCCTTTGCGAGGGTTGCCAAGGTCTGTTGCAGTGATGTTGAGGATGTAACTCTCAGTTCTCTCCCTGTCCAAAGGGCTGAGAATACTCAGCTTTCCACTCTGCATCCCTATTGTGAAGCAGCTGTCTGTATTTCCCTCTGCTATCACATACACCACCATGCCATTATACCCTGTGTCACTGTCCCGAGCGTTCACAGTAGCCAACACAGTTCCAACCGAACTGTCCTCTCCTATATCGATCTCCCTCGGGATTCCAGAATCAATCTCAGGTGAATGCAGGTTCACAGTGTGGATGTCGGAGAAGTGCATTGTCTCGTCCTCTTCGAGAGCGTTGATGCGACTTTTCTGCTGGACTTTGCGCATGTGCTCCTGTGCTACACCTGTGCTCTGACACTGGAGGTTTATGTAGTCATTTCCTTGCATGTTGTTGGTAACAGTCATGTTGAGGTACACAGGCGAAGCTTGGTTATCTCCATCAGTGGCGGTCACCTTCAGACTGATGAACGACGGTTCAAACTGACCGATCTTACGAGCGAGAGTCAGGTCTCCGGATGTTGGGTTTAACTCAAACAAACCATTGTCATTGCCTGACAAGATTTCGTAGCGTACGTAATCGGCAGGATCGTCGTCAATGGCGGACAGGGTGTGCACTCTCTGGCCGATGGGGGCATCGCGTGAGAGTGTCCCCTCACACTTTACCTTTTCAAACTGAGGGATGTTGTCGTTCATGTTCTGTAGTTTCACAGGAATGGTCATCTCCGTTTCTCTCCTGTAGGGCGAGCCCCAGTCTGAAGCACGAACTCTCAGCATGTACTTCTGTGGCATCATCTCGTAATCCAGTTCCTTTGTCGTCGTGATCCAGCCATTGAAGTGGTCAATCTCAAACGGGACAGGGTTGACATTGGCCAAACTGTAGGTGAGATAGCCATTCTCTCCTGAGTCAAGATCGTACGCTGACACCTCCAGGACCCAAGTTCCTGCCTTCTCATTCTCATTGATGTTGGCAGACAGTTTTGAGTCGTTGAAGACAGGATCATGGTCGTTGGCATCCTCGATATTTATCACGACCACTGCGTTGTTTTTCTTCCTGTTGCTGGGGTTTGCACGATCAGTGGCCACAACGGTCAGCTCGTAGCTGGCCCTCTCTTCCCTGTGCAGCTCTCCCTTTGTGTAAATGAGACCAGTTATTGAGTTGATGCCAAACCTCAGTTTGTTGTTCCCCCTCTGGATGTCGTATACGATTTCGGCGTTCCTGCCTGTGTCTGGGTCAGTGGCTTGAACCATCACCACAGGTGTGTTTACAGGTGCAAACTCACTCACTGTTACCTCATACCTGGTCTGACTGAACACTGGTGCATGGTCATTCGTGTCCATGAGTTGCACAAATACAACTTTCTCTGAGAACTTTGGAGGCTGGCCTTTATCCGAAGCCCTCAGAGTCAAGTTGTACCCATTGGGAGTTGTCTCCCTGTCCAGTGTCTGCAGCACTTTGATAGCATACTCATTCTGTGAGCTGCCTGGCTGAATCTGGAACTTTCCATCTTCATTTCCCTTGATGATCTCCAAGCCCTGAATGTTTCCATTCCTCCCACTGTCCTTATCCGTGACAGTTATGATGGCGTACGTTAGCGGCTCGGCATTGTGCTCAACAACCATTGGCAAAGTTCTCACCAGGATGTCAGGAGCGTGTACGTTGTCCTGTACTACAGTTATCTGAAGTCTAGACGTACTGGAGAACCCTGACCCGCCCGGATGGAGCCCTCTGTCTTCAGCTATGATTGTCAGCTCGTATCTGGGGGTCTGGTTGTAGTCAAGTTGTCTTGTTAGAGACACGACTCCACTTGCCGGATGAATCGCAAACGTGTCAGTCTCTTGGCTAAAACTGTAGTAGAATTCTCCGTTGGTGCCGATGTCCGCATCCGTGGCCGTTACCTGAGCGATGCTGGATCGGATTGGGGTATCTTCACTAACCGAGATGTAGTAGGATGTTGGTGAAAACAGTGGTCTTAGGTCGTTCATATCTTGTACTGCTAGAAATACGTCCGCCCAGAACTCTAGTTTCCTACTGTCGCTTTTCCTTACTTCCGCTTTGACACGGAGCTTATAACTATCTGTGACCTCTCTGTTAAGTACGTATGTGTTACCCCCTTTGGTCCTTATTCTGAGAAAGTAAAAATCCCCCACTAGATGCTGCTCTGCCTTGAACAACTGGAGTGGGTCTCCATCAACAATGGAATACTTGACGCTGGCCGACAGATCTGAAGTGATGTAGATTCCCATTTTCTGACGGCTCTTTACGTAGGTCTTTGCCTGTGAGTTCTCCATGATCGTGGCATTGTACTCCTTCCGTGTGAATCGGAAGTCTCCCACTGGAGATTGCGTCCGCTGACAGACTGCTGGTCTGCACAGCACGGTGACGAAAACTATGGCACATATTCTCAGTACTCCTGTGTTCCCCTCCATCCTGAGTTGTTTAGTCTGGCCCAGCTACAGCACTCTGTAAAATCTGGAAGAAACAAAAGAAATACACTTGCTAAGAATCGCGAATACTAATCGGCAATCAGTCTAATCTAGAAAACTGCAGAAGAAGAAACAACAATATATGTACACAGCATTTGTTACCCGTCCTGTAAGCTGAAACCGCTTGTGCCTGGTAAAAGGGGGCCTCATTTGCATGCAGCCTTGAGGGTCATTGTAATCAAAGAAAGAAGGGTGGCCTCACGCCAGTCCTATCAACAGCATTTCAAGTCAGCTCTATAACCGCTGTTAACGGACTTGGGATCTGGCCCTTTCAATGCAAAACTCTCATCCAAGCCAGACACGGCATTCCTACTTCTTTGATTCAAAAGGATTGCCCGCCTTGCCTTTTTCCAAGCAACAGATCCCTCTCTGATGCGAGGGAGTATTGGGCAAGGGCACACAATCACATTGTTTATGTTTGAAAAAGCCTGATGTTCAGTTACTCCTTCTGAAAAGAAAAAACGGGGGCACGACACAAAACAACATGGCATAACGTTTTCTTACTGGCCTAGATTTGGCACACGAAGCCCTTTTCTTGCAAGCCCAGTGAAAAAGAAATATGTGGGCCCTTGTTCCAAAAAAATAAGCCGGGTTTACTTAAGGATCTTGCACAAAGACAGGGCCTTCAGGACGACTAAGTAAAATTATCCTAGAGTGCACGAACATCAAACCTAAACAAAAACCTTGAAGAGACCTCATGTGTGGTAACTGTTTTTCTAAAACTACAATGCCGTCTAGTGCAACTTCTAAGGGATGCATGGTTGCCATTTCCAAAACAAAAACCCTGGAACCCCACACAGCAAACACGGGGAAATCCAAGCCACCGTTACCACTACAACACAAAGCACAAAAGGATAGCAATACTCAGAATTCAACCTGTCTAGATATATCTAGAGATATAAAAATATCTCCTGTTGCATCTACTCACAAGTGAAAGGCAACATGAATTGCCTACATAATAGTAACCCCTAAAGCAATTTCAGTGATAAAATTTCAACAAAGGAGCCGATTTAAGCCCAGAAGGATACACTTGTGCAGGATTTCCTGTAACTAAGGTCATTTTTGGATATCGGAAATGTTTTAGGCAATGGGGAAAGATGTAGACAAGTCGTAGCCGGACTAAAGACCCTCCAATTATAGGCGAGTGGTGTCCAAGCAAAACACTCGCATTCTTTCGCCAGCAGCCTAAACTGTAGGCGTATTTACCAGGTCCATTCTTGGCTACAGACAGATAACACTGGCTTGGACTTTCCACGGATAATACAAAACATGTGGCTCTTTTTTGCCTCGGCGTAAACCATTTTATACCATGTAACACCTCCGAACGGGTCGCGGTCGTGAGCGTAAGCTCGGAAAATCCTCGGCGGGGATAACCCCGCGTCTGCCCCGAGGCACAGACTACAACCTACGGGTGTCCACGATCAATTTTCCTCGGCAAACGATAGCTCAAAATTCCAGACAGTTGAGCAGACTACCATCTTAAAATCATCTCCAATACACATCCCGTGCTGGACAGATACGGGGTACACCTGATCTTCAAATTGAAGATAATCTGGGGGGAGCTTCTGAACCGTAAATTTGTGGCCAAGAAAATTTGCGGCTTCACGGTCCACCAACGGCGCACGCTGTTTGCCCAATACGAATCCCCCAAATGAAGACAAATCGCATCAAACTACAACGGGAATAAAAATCGAACCAGTTTTAAAAGAGGAATAAAGGAAGCTTTGGCGTACCTGTAGTGTCGATTTGAGCGGGTTATTGGCAGGGTTTGCCGTGTCCCTGGGGGAGTTTTTGCCGAGAGAACTGGGTTAGAACTGATCGGGCAAGGGGCCTTACTCAGGCTCGGACCACCGAAATCATGGGCCAGACGAAACTTGGGCTACGAGCCTTTCGTAGAACAACATCCCACTCAAATATTACCTACAAAATAACCCCCAAAAGCATCACACAAGCTGATCAAACAAGGATTCTTACTTTTCCATCATTTCCATAAATAATCCGACGGAAAATCGTTGTAAATATGCGCAACAAGGACCGCTACTCGAGGCCAGACGACGCTCTACAGTGTCGAGCACTCAAAACACTCCAAGCTCCCATGAGCCCCAGATTTGGAATGGCTGTTGCACGCAAACCCATTTTTACTCTAATCACGGCCATTTACGGGAAAATCTGACTAACCACAGAGAAAGATCAGACACTGGTTGATATATCTATGTACCCACACGAACCTGGATTCATCCCGATCGGGAAATACGGGCCCTGTACTCTTGCGGCGGCTCAAGACGTGTTCTTCTCGGTCTCGCCATGCTGGAAAATCCGTCCCCTGGGCCTGCTTGACAAACAACGGGGATCTACATCCGCTCCGCACTACTTCGCGTCACTCAAAAGTACCAAACTGACCAGTCCTAATCTCCAAAACACCAAAAATGCCCAAATAAAGATCACGTTATGTTCAGAATAATGTGCGTATTTCCAATTTTGTGACTGAAATCTGAGGAAAGGGGGTTTTGGGGGGGAGTTCTCTTCCAGGGCGCTGGCTTTGGCGTATTGATATGAACGTCAGCTGGAGGTGGGGGACATAACTCCGCCCACGAGCACACGTTGAAATAAGACCGTCAATCAAGTGTCGGGTTTCTCTAGACCTCTCAGAAGCCGATGACTCGTCTCAAGGAAAATTTCTCACAACCACAACGTCAATAGCACAGTTTAGACTGTTTAGTTAGGAACGATGGCCCGGAAAAAGGACCGCCTGCTGAAACTTTGTTTGCTGGCTGCACCTTTGTTTACTTTGGTTACAGTTATGACGGGAGTTATATTGATTTTCCGATTGAAAACACGCAAAAAGAACAACACGTAAATAGTACAGGTGAGAAATGGCCTTTCGCTTTCTTTGTTCATTTTCTGGTTTTAGAAATAGAATAAAAACACGACCGAGTAATAAATAACGTCCTCTTTGTTTTAACTAGCAAAAAATGTCCTAAATTTTCGTAACCGATGGATCGGCAACTACCTAATAATACGTGTCTGAGTTTTGATGGACTAGATTTCATTTCGACCTGCCTCGGCCAAATAACAGGGCCCAGAAATCGCCATTGGTAAAAATCCGGCACATCAAAGAGTATGCCGCTTGCACGTAAATGTACCCAATGACAGATGGAACTGCGATAAGGGTCGACAACCCGGGAAAGTATGCTAAATTGTCGACCTCTATCCTTGTTAACACCGGCGGAGCGTGCACGGTGCTGAATAATCTACCCCTTTCTTTAAAAAAAACACACACGCAAGAGCCTATAAACCTTGAACCGCGCACTACTTATGTACATGTCACGTCTAAATCAAATACGAGCACGCAAGCCGCCGTGAGCGACGAACAAGGAGCATATTTGTCCTAGCTAGCGGAGAAATTCTGAATAGAGATCAATCGGTTTTCAAATAATTGCTCAAGACAGTGGACGATTATGCCCCGCCGGTGATCCAGTCTTCACAGAAAGCTCACCTCGGCGGCGGTACAAAGTCCGGGATAGCTTCCCATTATACATACAGGTGAGACAGCTCGCCTTTTCACGGGGCAGAACACCGCCCCTTGTAATTCCCTGCTCCCGCGTCCCACGTGTAAAAGTCTAATCATTAATGCATCACTAGACGTATTCTCCGCTGAATGACCCAGATAAGTCGCTCTGTCATTACCGTTCTTGTTGCAGGTGAACTGAACGGAAGACACTACCCGTTACGTCATGTGTAAGGTAAAACCCGTGCTCGGGCAGGTTTCGAGTTGTGCGCACGGAAGCCGACCCGGTACGCCCGAACAGAGTCTCCATTGTTCCACGAGGCAAACGTAAGGTGCTCCTTTACTTGAGGAAAGAACCCATATAAGACTCCTTGGTCGATTATGACCAAAAGTCTAGCGGGGTTTTAAATTTCCCTACGTTGAAAACAACCAGGGCAGTGCCCGATACGGTCGGTGCCGTTAGATACTCGGTGTATTCAAAAGTGCCCATTTACTTCCAGCAGCTGCCAATGCCACGCTTGCATGGTACAGACCATCGTGATTAATACGAATAACCGAGGCCTTCAAAATCTGATTTTTATTAAATAATCTATTCTAATGCGTCTATCCAAATCAATATTTTCTTCCTGTTTGTTCTTTTTTTACCGTTAAGAAAACCTGTTATATAATCGTTACATACAGTGTCACCAAGTAGTGCGGTACAATGGAAATTGTTTACCTCCAACGATAGTTGATACAAATGGAACAAAACCATTGGGGATGTCTGTTTTGAAAAGCATACAGAAGTCAGAGGTGAGCGATACAGCAATGGAGACGACATCGGGCGTGTCACGTACACCTAACTAGTGAAATATTTACACACCGATGACGTCAAAGATTTGCCTTGTTAGTGATCAACAACTTACATTTGTCTTCTTCATGTAATTGATGTATCGTTTGATTACATTGTGATTGAAATAGAAAAATTGATGATAACTACATTTTCTTTCTTGTGATCATTACTGGTGCCATCATAACAACTATGACACACATACACGGTACCCAATGATTTCATGCAGTACTGGCCCCAAGCGCTAGGATCTACAGAGGGAGCATTTGATATACTGGTACTGGTGAGACTACTCGTCGATTTTTCTGGAAAGTGAAAGAAATTCACCAGCGAAACCATGACGACTACCTCTGGTGTCACACGTTATGTCATTGTTAAAAGAGAAACTAAATCCCGAGACTAGAAACTGGGTTTTCAAATTTTACGCCAAATGATAAATTGACCTGGGAATCCCAATATTAAATACGTCGCCATGGCAACAGTGCTTGGTCTCCATAGAAACGGGGGTTTAGTCACCGTTTTTTCCTGGTAGAAGCAAGAAAACAATCCTCCTAGCTCCATATTATGATTCACTCTCTCATGTTTCCTTATCAGTTTCGCTGACATTTCTGGATCGTTCTCATGCAGTCCGCAATGTCATCTACCTTTGAAATCATGACGGCGGTTTTGTTTTTATTGATCCTTATTTGGTGCTGACAGACGGAGCGTTGCCTGGAGCCGCATGAGGGACGGGCTACACGTGAGCCCATCTCTGTTCCTTATCGGGTCTGGCAGCGGTTCAGGAACCGGAGAGCTCAACCATTTCAATGAGTTATGGATTGAACACGAGAAATCGTCTCGGGGAAGAATTTATTACCCGCCATGGCGGCTCCGTTCCGCTTACGCGCGTCCGGCTTGTGTATTCGATGTGCGGCAAAATTTCATCGTTTTTCTCTCTCGGAGAGCCCCCTTCGAAATTGGACAGTGCAAATGACGCAGAAACGTAAAATTAGTTTGTGAAAATATTACAACGTGTTGACCTTCGGCCCCTGCACGTCGTAAGAATGGCGGTGCTTACGCTGGCCGGCAATCTTGTCTGGTGCAGGTCGAGCTCTAATAAAACCGATACCAGGTGTGCATTGACTTTATTGGCGGGCCCGCATCGCAGAGTTAGAGGGAATGATTTTCCCGCGTCTTCACGGCCACGGTCGGCAACGATCTAGTAATGACTTTCCCTCAAGGCCATTTTCCATCTTTCACACGAAACATCTGTCTTTTCCCCTTCTGGGAGAACGGAGAAAGACAGGCGTACCGATCGCCGCTAGGCCGTCTCTCTAAGGATGGAAGACCGTGATGACTGGCGGGGTTTCGCCAGAATTTAACGTCTGTCTCCTGGCAACTTTCCTGCGTAGCTACCTGGGCCATAAATACCTGAATGAGTCATAGTGGTACCCATAACAAACTGGCCTATTGATCAGACTGTTCGAACCACTGGTTCATATATTTCCACGAATTGCTGACTCAGTCGTCGTGCGATTTAACCGTATAAAGGACCAAAATCTGCCACCCTAAGAATATAGATGCTGAAGACATTAAACAGACAGCACCTACCAAACAACGGAAGATTTAGACCAGCGCCAGCGCTTGTAAGTCTTTCAAGTTACCAAGCTCCAGATCAACCGATGTATCCCCTAATTTGCTACCAGTCCTTAATTTCAGCACGGGGCTTCGTCCAAACTTGAAGAAGAAAAGAATTAATTAGTGTACGTTTGTTTGACTAGTTACGCATGGGCAGCGGTAACGTACGATTGTACTTGAATTAGAAATGCTAGCTTGCCTAGAGGTTGTTTCCTAAACACTTGAATCCGTCATGGGCCTTTTCGGAAAGCAACATCCGGATTACGAATTTTCTGCGATTGTGCGAACCAAATTTCCTTTTGTTTGCCATGGCCACTTAAACTTAGTTATGTGAGTCACTTTTCCGCACAAATAAACATAAGTTTACCACTCCAATTGTTTGCTAATTCTTTATTTCCTGTGGAAAAAATTAGCACAAGATGGGACACCTGTCTTGTAAACATTACAATGCGTCACCTACCTGCACAACAAAGGTGTGCGGGTACGTTTACCTGCGGTCAGGTATCCGTGTGCTTTTTGTTTGCTCAAAAGGCGGGGCATCGCTACTTCCTGCGCTGATCTAATACAGTGTATATATACACACAGGGACCGAGTCTGCGCACTTCGGAGAAACCAACAGGTCACGTAGCAGGTATGTTTCCGTCTGATTGATACAGTATCACGTTGTCTGAACGAAACAACCAAGCAATTAAGAAACGAAATCAAATCGTAGGACGATACCCAACTAAATCCTCTACACCTTACGCATAACAATCTTGGTTTTTGCCCCATTAAATTATTACAATACACTCAGTAACTGGAATGAACTTCAGAGTTGGTATTTCCAATCTTACATAATTAGTTAGGTGAGAGATTTTCCTGTGAGTGACATCTATGCGAAGTAAGCACACACAACTCACAGCGATGGCTTCTCAATAACTGAAACCCTCGCTGATCCCTTCTGTCGAATACTGTGGGTTCCAATCTCACTTCATCAGCCCAACACGCACCCAGAGGACCTTTTTTCATCAACCAAATTGCAAGTGGAAGCCCAGGTTCTGGTTGGGGATGGACTTTAGGAGGCCCTTACCTGTATTACATCCATCCCGTTACAATCGTCGCTCTGCGGACCATAAATCTATCCCCGAGCCTAACCAAATTATGAATATCTCTTCGTGGCTGCGAGAAAATTGAAAGAATTACAAGGCGTTCCCAAGGAACTAAACGCCTTACCTTTGAAAAGGAGCCCGCACCACGACCGTTACACAAGAATCGCAGTGTTAGCGGCTGGACCACCTCCAAGCGGAATTTAGAAACGCCAGAACATGACTCACACTACGCTACAGTCTGTCCCTTCTGCTGCTACCCGGCGTTTCAGCGTTCGGTGTGTGAAAACGAAAACGTACACCCACTTCCCAGAACAGTCCAAACGACTCGTACAACCCTAGCGTATCACTCCGCTAGAGAGTGCCGGAGAGTGCAGGTAGAGCTACGTGAGCCTTCCTCCGCATCTTGCTCAGTGAACATCAGCAACCAGCAGACGGAAAAGCATTCTCTCTCTCTCTCCCGGTGTGGGTGCCTGTCCGG